ATGGAGTTAAGCTTGGAAAACGATTAAAGGTCACATTTTTTGATCATGTGAAAGAAGTTTAATTAGGAATATATTACTCTGTATTTAACTCCCAGTGTTTTGATGAATCCCTGAGCTGAATTACATCCATCTATGGCTATAAGAGTGTGAAGAAGTTTTAATTAATGTCTCTTATATGCAGAGAGTTAACAAACAGGTGTGCCTCTAAGAGATGCTGGTCTGTTTTAATGCATATGCTCTTAAAATTGATCTTAGTGACCAAACAACAGATTTTTTTTTAAATTCTGTGAGATACAAGTAGACAAAGGGCTGTAAGTTGTAAGTGCCTAGGTGAATGCATAGTTCTCTGGGGTCCAAGCAAGCTTAAAGGAAGTCTGAATTAATGTAGCACAAAAATTGATAGGCCCAGAGGGACATGTATGCTAGTAAGAATCAACTGTGGTCTGTTTAGGAATGAAGCTTAATTTGTCCATAAACTGATTGGCTTAGTTATACATATAATTCTGTTATATTTGAGATTTTAAGGATGTCTCATAGCAATAAATTGGAGAATGGATAGCAAGGGCTACTCTCTCAAACATAATGGAGATGTGGCTCAAGATAGTATTAAAGGTTATATTGGAATATGAAGACTGGATGAATGTTATTTCAGTTAGTTGCTATTAAAAACCTTTGCTGAATATACTGTATTTTTTTTACATGTGCTCAGTCACAGAACCTTATCATTATCAGTAGACATTTAGCTTATAAATATATAATTCAGCTTATCTCTCCATTTGCTTCAAAATACTTAGCATTTATTTGTTCAAAGTCATTGAAGTAGTTATAGCTTTGCAGTTGAGAACAGTAGTATCAGTTTTTTATATCCAAGTTAGCTTTAAACCAGAAGTTTAGCTTTCATTTATAACTTCTAGTGCATTACTCTATGCTTACATACAGGGTTGGGAACTTAAAAGTGTGGAATAGCTGTGTAGTATGTAAGGTTGCAAAACTCTGTCATTAGTAATAAGGCTTTCCACAGTAGCATGTTAAAATATGAATATTTAGAGCACTGTATTAAAAAAAACCCAACAAACCACTACAATAAACATCCCTACTGTAAAACAGATCAACCAACCAACCCCCTAAAAGCAAAATCCAGTCCTTTGGTTATAACCAAAAATTTACCTCTGTTTTCTGAAGTATTTTAAGGAGACAATTTTTGCTTGGTTTCCACAGAAACATTTTGCTGCAAGAAGGTATTTGTGTTTAAAATAGTTAGCCAAGATAATGGGAAATTAGAGACTCTTACATATATTTGTATCTTCATCATTTTATGCTGATGATCATGATCAGGTATGAAATTTGCCTGTTAGGTGGTGGCTGTAAACTAAGTGTATATTAAAGGACTGTGGCTATTTTGAAGAATTAGCCAGACATTCAGAATGGCTGTTTTGGTTAGGATAACATAATAGTATTGACAGCGAATACAAAGGTTTTATCTTCATTTTCCTCTCATTTCTCTTTCCTCTTCCCTGCCCCCCTTCCGCCCCAAAGGAAATTTGGTTTTAGACATTGATGAAGATATTATGTTTTTTAAAATAATAGCAGACAGTAAGTGAGAAGATACTTAAGAGTAGAAAACAACCCAAATCAGTTAAACTCATTAGAATTTCATAGTTCTCAGGAGGCTGTAAGTTGTAAATTGATACAATACAACCCTGGGGTGAGAGAAGAGGTGGAATGAAATCAGATTTCATCTAGATGTATGAAGGCACTAAAATCTAATTCTTACACTTAAAATACATTCACTAGTGATACATGGTCAAACATGTTAAACCACACATTTCAGAAAGCTTATTACCGTATTCCTTGCAGTGAATTCAGAGTGTTTTAAAGATTTTTCTTAGTGACATCTGCAATTCACTCATACCTTTCTGGTAGTAAATGCAATGCTTTTTCATGTTTTACAACAGATGAACATACTGAACTTAACAGGAACTTTATTTAGCTAATGTGCTGCACGCACTCTTTAGCTACACTCATTGACCATATTGCTCCAGTGCAGTCCCTGCCACCCTTCATGGATATTTGTATCAGCCAAAAAGCCTGTGTCCTTATTTTCAAAGCAGCCCAAAGAATGAAAGTTTGGTACTTTAGAGATTTCTTTGTCTTCATAAGAATATCATGTTCAGCCATGTTTCTCTGATGCTATGAAACTGTCACATTCAATGCTAAAACACTTAAAAGTAGGAGCTAGGAGTTAAATAGTGGCACAGCAGCAAAATTTGGGATGTAATTAGAAAAACTGTTGGACTGACAAAGTGTGACAATGGGAATAAATTCAGTTTAGTTTTCTGGTTTCTCAATTTAGTTTTCTTTCACATGAAGATGATAAAAAGAAAGAGAAAAGGAGATGCCAAAAATGATGGGGAGAGGAGTGTGAAGGTGAGGGATGGGAAGATATTTATAAGGAAAGAGGAAAAAAGAATGATACATTTGATAAAAAGAAGTAGTTAGACATCCAGGAAATTGCTGTTTTCTTATTTATGTCAGGGAAACACATACTAGATCAGAGGCAACATCTGAAAACTTGTATGTGCAGATAAAAGAAGTCAGCTTAGCTGTACTTTTCATAAATAGGTTAAGACTTTGTCTGCACACAGTGACATTTAATTAAGTAAGCTGAAAGTGATTTTTTTCATCCTGTGTTTTAGTTAAGGTTGAAATATTATTGGGGTTTTTAATTTTGTATTCTTATCTGAGTAAAATTCCATTAAGTATATGAGGAGTTTGCCTGCTCTGGGGGTTTAGCAATATTCTATCTATACAGTCATTTTTAAGGCAATTTTACTGAGTAATTGAAAAACTGGATGGTAGCCTAGTCCTGTGGCACACAGTTTTAATTGCACTTGTTTATATTCACACAGAATAAAGCAAATAAGTAAATAATGGATATCTCAACTAGAAATGGGGGGCCATCAGCTACCTGGGACATAGCGGTTTTTTGTACGGATCTAGTTACGATACAATGTTTTTGTAATTTGTATAGGAACTCCTGACCACATAATAATGATAATTTGCCACCATCCTTAACAGACTCATGCTAGTGAGAAATTTAATATAGTAAAGTAACATTTTTAACTGGTGCCATATTTCTGCATAGGTTTTTTTGTACACCACTCTCTGTTGAAGTGGTGTAATAGATGTACCAGGTTTTTACACATAGAAACAAATATGTTTTAGCAAACGATTAAGTGCAGATAAACAACATATTTTATACAATATTGTTATACCTCTCTCCCATTGACACTCTTACTCCCACCCCAGATCAGAAATACAGCCTGGCATGCGAGGCATGCTTTCTTCTAGATCTCCACAGACATTTGCCTGCCAAAATCCAACATAAATTTTGTCCTAGTTATCAGAGTATGATTATTAAATAATAATGGGAAGAGATCTCATTCATTTCATAAAGCAGAGTGTTTTGTGAGTTTTTTTAAGTGTAAAGAGAATCTGAATTCAAGGGTCTATGCTTCTTTTCATTTGCGTACTCTATCTTCTAACTAACAGTAACTAATGTAGTTAGAAAATATGAAAGACTAGTGAGAGATAGAGAGAATTGATTGTGCTTGCTAATCTGAAGAAGTACTAGAAGATGCCCAACTTGAATGAGACACAGAGATTGGAGAAATAAGATCTGATGATCAGAGGTCATTCTCTGCCCCTCTCTGGAGGCATTGCATAACTGTCATATCAAAATGCAGCAGACACCCCTTCCAGAAATCATTCAAGAAATGATCCGAGCTATTAATTGTGACTGATAAACTTTTAAGATACAAGATATCTTCCTTTTGCTGAACCTTCTCTTTGCAGTTCTGATTCCTTCCATTCAGTTACCAAAATCCTTCTAGGAAGGCAAATGCCAAGCAAACATCTCAGCTGAAATGGTAGATCCCTTTCCTATTAGTGTATCTTCTTTCTTTCCTCTACCCACTTTCTCTTGTGAAAAAACCCTTGTTTGCTTTCTTTTTTGTTTCTTAGCTGTTAGAAAGCCTTTAAAAATGCTTTCACTTCCCTGTCATGGCATTATGCTCTTTGGAGGGAGGATCAGCTGGAGTCATGGCAAAGAAAACTGCTGTCCTGGTAGTTTTATTTTGTATTCACCATACGATTCACAGTATTGCATTGTTCCTTCCCAGAGGGGGAAGATTGGTCTCTCATGCAAATCACTGGTCCTTTTCTAGGCTTTTGTAGCCGCCCTAAAATTGTTGGAAGGGATCCTTCTTTCTGCAGAGTGAGAAGGAGGAATTGCACCAGACAGGCTGGCCCCAGTTATTTTATCTCTTTCCTGTGTCTTTTACAGCTCCTTTTAAGGAGCAGGCACCAGGCAGTACCTATACTGTGTTCCCAGGGCTTCTGCTGGTGTTCTGCATTTGGTGCGCCAAATTCAGTGACATTGCTAAGATTGGAATTGTTAAATTAATGAATGGAAATACCAGCTCTATGCCTCTGCAGTACATTAATAGCTGTGCCAGTTCAATCAAATACACTACTGACTACCATTTGTGAAATGGTATTTACCGGATCTTAGATGGACTGCTGAGAAAGATGAATGTAATCTTTCATTTTAGTCTGACTTAAAAATAAGCTAACTAAATTCTTTACATAGATTATTTTATTACTGTTCTTCACAGGAGGAGAATAAATATACTGGTAGATTTGAATTCTTCACTTAAATAAAGTATACATATATGAAGAACATAGTAGTAATTAGAAGGAAAGTAACCATAATCTTTCATATAGCTTAATCTTATATTCTAATTTAATAGAGTTAACATTGAAAAGAGAGATGAAGTAAGAAGAGAAGAGAAGAGAAGAGAAGAGAAGAGAAGAGAAGAGAAGAGAAGAGAAGAGAAGAGAAGAGAAGAGAAGAGAAGGAGAAGAGAAGAGAAGAGAAGAGAAAGGAGTATGCTTATTCCTTATTTTTTTTTAATTTGTTTTTTCTTCCTTCTTTACAGAACCTGAAGAAGGTGTTTGTAGAATTTAGCCATCAGGAGCTGTTTGAGTTCTACAACAAGGTCTGTAGATTTTACAATACTATAGTTTCTTTGTAAACACCTTATGCTACTCAGCAGGAAATGTTGCCTATATGAATTAAATCTAATAAAACTGGAAAAAAGGGATCCAACTGAAATTAAGGCTGTTGGATTCCTTTGATCACATAAGCCATTTTCAAGAAGAGCCTGTGCATTCAACTTTGGAATAGGCAGGGCTTGGGTCACTGTAAGTGTACCTGGCAGCTATATCATGAGGAGTAGCTGATGACTGACAGTGGAGATCTCTCTGGAAACAACATCTTCGTGTTGCATCTTCAGTCAAGAGATGCTAGACTCGTAATCCAGTCAAAATGACTCTATCTTTTGTTTTCCTTGTTATTATGCATTGGAAATTCACAGAAAAACATCTGTGCATGCTAAAGAGGTAATATTTAGACAACTGTTTCTTTAAAATTTGAATATTTAAACAGCTGCAATGAATTCTAATAGCTTCATGTAAAAACAAATATTCATGAGGATTTTTATATTGTATACAAATATATTTGGTATGCATAGTTGAAGATATTGGATATTTCTGTTTGCATGTTTCTAAACAACACTTTATGAGTGGAGGGTTTTTTCTCTCTTTTTCTTTCCTTTAAATAGCTGGAAACTATACAAGCACAGCTGGATTCCCTTACATGATGTTTTTGAAGACTTATTTCTCCATTACTCTCCTGCCATCTCATTATTTTGAACTGAAGATAGATTGCCAAGCTGTGTTTCCTGAAGGATTCAGCACAGGTTGTTTCTTGTAAAATTATGTGGCTTACCTGCTTTTCAGATCAGTACCACAAGCTAAGAGTCTGTGTCAAGGGTCTGAAGATTCTAATGGACTTTCTCTTGTTTGCTTAACAGCTGTGAAAAATGTCCTCTTTACTTACAGTGGGGAAACACTCTGCCCAATTCCTCTGCCCCACAAATAATGCTACCCTGCTTCAGAAATATTTTTTTCATTTTATTATGCATGTTACTTGGTTCTGGTAGAAACATACATGTTAGTGAGAGACCAGTAAAAAAACCCCTCTTTTGCAGACATAATTATAGAAGTTGCTTACAACTTCTATACACAGCTAATAAAGTCTCTATCCTTTTAAAACAATATTCACACAATTGATAATGCTTGTTGCAGATTTGTCAAATTCAGAATTTTGAAAGTTTATTTTGGGGCTAGTCACACTTCATTTCATTATCTTTGTTCTGTTTTGGTTTGGTAGGGTTTTTTCTTTGAAATAATCAAAAACATCTCTGATTTCAGTGTTTACTCTTGGCACTAAAAATAAACATGGTTTCTTAGCACTGCGTGTCCACTAATGAATCTAAGAAGTGTGGTGTATAACTGAGGGGAGAAATCTCAGAGTATAAAACAAAAAATACTGAAATGATCTGACAGATTTCTGAAAGCGATGTTGATTCTTCCTCATGCTCTTTTTACCATCAGCATTTTTACATTGAACAGGAAAAATTGAAGTATAGTGATTAAAGGCCAACTTAGTCATACTTTCACCCATTAGTTCCAGATGATTCATGAGCAGCTGGAGAAAGGTGAAAGTTGTCTTAGTTCTTGTTGCCATTTGTTGACAGGCAGCTTCTTGCTACACAGTATATAACTTTGGGCCTATAGAAGGTGAGAGGAAATTTGCCTGTTTGGAGATTTAAGAATTTTTTTCCTCCTGATGCCTACATCAGGAATGGTTAATACTAGCTTTCAGTTTCCTTCTGTAGCTTATTTGCTCATGACTGTAGCTATAAGTATAACCAAAGTATATGTTTTGAATAGCTGATTCTCCTGAATAGTTTAGGTCCTCTTGATAGGAAAAGGGTTTTAAAATCGTGGAAATTTAGAGTTAGAAGGAAAATTAAGCTTAGTAAGCCCTGAAAAAAAATACCCTGAGTACATGTAGGCCTTGTACCTTGCTAGAACTGCATCTGTGTAGCTAGTACATGATAAATGATATAATTGTTATATGTGATGATTGTTTAGTAATTAAATACAATTACTGTTTAATTTTAAGAATAATCATGAGAAACTGTGGTCAGGGGCCTAAGAAAGACCACGAGAAACTCATGCTTGAATAAAGTCAATGTATACAAATAGAACAATATAAGTTTAATAATTAATATGTAAGTTATGTAACGACATAATATAAAATATGTTCAGCTCAAAAGCCATGTCGGAGTCAGATTTGGGTCTGTACCCCTGATTCCCAGAGCTCTCAATAAAAGCACCTGTTTATAATCATATCCCATGATTATGTGTGTTCCTGAACGCTGACACTCGTGTGCCAGATTTCCCAGTTTGTTGCTTTTTTGTGCCTTTTTGTTGCTTTGTTGCTGTCAACTCTGGAATACCATGAGGTTTTCAGAAGTTGTCCAAGCTGAAAAATACTAGATTCAGATGATAAAGACATTAACAGCCTATGTATGAATAAAGGGCATTGAAGAGAAAACACATATTTACCATAGTTCTTAGCTCTTAAAGGAAATGCCAAATGATACTCTACTGCTCTGGTACAGTATCACTGTTACTGTAGAAGAAATTAGTCACTGGAAGAAGAAATGAGTCACCATTGACCGGCAGAATATCCTCAGCTATCCACTATAGCTTGGGAGGATGGTTGCCAAAATCACGTTGTGTCATAAGCCCCTGGCACATTTGCCATATCTTCTGGAGGTGCAGATGTCACTTCCTTGGTCTGACTGTTTAACAAGAGCTTGGCAGCTTGCTCATCTCACCCTGACTGGTGAGATGTCTGCAGGTGGACATATCCCCACCATTCCATCTGCTTGCAGCCAGGAGCAGTGCTTTGTAGTTAGTGCAGCTGGGGGAATCCCCTTCTGCATGACGTGTATTCTCTACCAGTCTTGTGGCACAGTATGCTTTGTGCAAGAACACTGCTCTTGAGCCTTTTCTCGGAGTTTCCAGAGCTTACGTTCTGGAAGTCAGGTCTGAAGTGAGTTCAGACTTTCCTGTGTGGATATGGGAGTGGATACAGGACATACTAAGGCAGTTGTGTGAGGGGTTTCAGTTATCTTTGTGAATGTAGGCAGTGATTGATGAATCCTGGAGGAGGAGGTGAAGGCTGAAGTCTGGAGAGCAAGAGGCACTGGAGAAAAGAGCAGGCACATCTTAGAAAAAGAAGTCAGGGTAGGAAGAAATGGGGCACAAGGCGAAGATAGAGAAATGGATATTCCCAAGTATGGAACTGGGTGTTGGAAAATACCAGGAGAGAGCAGAAACACTGGGAAAGATGACAAAAGTATTTAATGTTTATCTTCGTTTGCAGATGACTGAAAAGATTTATGATTTCTTTACAGCGGCTGCCTTTTATTTTTTACTAACTGTACTGAATTCTTAGTGTCAAAAGATTTATTGTAAGAAATACAGTGGTTACCTTTAGTCAAGGACCTCTGAGAAATAAACATTTAGTTTAAAAAGACTTTTCTGTATGTAATGGGAAGCTTTGGGGTTGTACATTGTTATGGAGCAAGGGCATAACCTGTACCATCTTAAAGAGGAACACTGCCACTTAAATTTAAGTGCTATTGACTGAGGAGAGAAAATTGGCTAACTGAGAAAGAGCAGAAGACTTTGTGACATTTTGTTAGGTCTTGCAGAAAAGAAGGCTTTTATCCTGGTTGCTTCTCTCTGGGTGTGAGTGGACCTGGAGAGGGGAAGATTATTCTTCTCCTCGAGAAGCTGTCTCTGCTTGGTTTGTATAAAGTCCTGGTGTCTCAGAAATGTCAGTGAACAAGGGGGAAAATAAGCACTGGCACAGACTGGGTCATTGGTGGGTAGATCTGCCTGAAGCAGGGACTCAACCCAGTGCCTTAGGGGTGTCAGAAAGAAAAACACTTCTGGGAGGAAGGCATCATGTACACTACACAAAATGACCACACCAGGCTGGTGTGAGAGCCTAGAGAGGTGTGTGCATTCTGAAGTTGTTCAAGCTTTGGTTATGGGTACTGGTGAAAAACAGAACAGTGAATCTCAGTGCTATTTTGAATAGCCCTGACAAAAATTTTGATTTTTTTTTTACTGCAGAAAACAAAAGGGATGCATCCCATGCCCTTTCCAGTTTAGGATCCTATCATACTAGCCTTATTATTCTTGGACATGATCCAGATATAAAATTACCAAGGCTTTACGTAGTGTTGAAGGAAGATATTTGCAGAGATTTATTGAACTCTAAAACTGGAAATTGGAATGAATAAGAATAACTAAATCTTCTTTCAGATATTTCCGTGCATTTTAAAATCATTTGTTTCATCTTTGTTCAGACATCAAAGGCAGCATTTTCTGTCACTATACTTCTTTCAAACCTATAATGTCAAAATTTGCCTCAAATGGACTATTGGCAAAAGAGGAAATATTTTGATTCAGGTGTAGCAGATGACAGTAATATTTTGATGTGAAGATTTGGAGTTCTGGACATAAGGGAAAACCAGTTCTCAAACTGCCTCAAAAACACCAAATTACTGGTGAAGAGCAACACTTGTACATCACTGAGGAAAACCAACACTAATGGCACATTAATGCTTGTTGAGTACAAATGCATTAGATTATCTTTGTCCAGTTCAGACTCGGACTTGTAGTTCCTGTTTTTTAAGCAAATACAAAATTTCTGTAAGTTTTTGCATTTTATTTTTGAGCTACTGTACTGTGTGGAAGTTCCTTTTCTAGGGAGCCCAAATGAATAACAGTGATTTTGAGTAGGTGTGTGAACTACAGTGCTTGTGACTGGTACACTATTGATGGTGTCTCATTAAAATAAACCAATAAGATCCTTTTATCTGCAATGGCATAAGTTGATTTCTAATTTCTATAGAAATTAATCAGTTTTGTTAGATCTTCCCTTGGTCTCTTTAATTGTTGATCAAACCAAATAATATGCTGTGATTTTAACTGAAATAAAAGTGTTTAGACCATCCCTTCATCCCCTCATTATTTTATTTTTCAAGAGATAAAAACTACTGGTCTGTTACAAATCAGATAGTATTTGTCTGTGTTCAGCTATGCATCCAGGAAGCACTTGCTCCTCTCACTTAGAGGGATTAGTTTTTTTTCTATTGAAGTCAAAATATATTTAATGGTTATCTAATGTTTTCTCCAATTATTGAAATCATAAGAAGGCAATTTGGAGTCCTACACATGCTGGAAGCATAACTGTCTTGTCCAGCTGTTCTAATAAGATGATCACCTTTTTAGAGTACTTTCAACTTCTTTTAATTGGCGTTAAACATTAATTGCCCCTTTATGGTAATATAAAACATGTATTCAAGAAAATGTGGATGCATGTAGTACCTGTCTCGGAGATGGCTGTGCAGATCCACACAGGGCAGCATAGGCAGCTGTGGAGTACTACTTCTGGGACTGGACACATTGGAGTGGCAGATTAGTTTGTTTGGAATTCACCCTCTGGTCATTCAGAACAAGAGAAGGGAGGAGGAAGCAGCACTCTCTGGACAGTGCTAAGAAGATTCCTCACACCTGCACCGTGTTGGAAGGATCATCCCCACAAGGGTTAATATGAAGAGCTCTGTATATGGGTGAGCTGCCTTTATTTCATTTAGTTCTCATCCATGGTTTCAGTAAGTAGGGTAGCTCTTTAATAAATTGCATTTCATGGGCAGCATGAGAACACTGTGCTTTTTCTGTCATGTGCTTGTCTGTTTTTCTGCTTCCAGGGTTAAGAAATGCTTCTTTGTTAAAAAAAGAAAAAATAAGTTTAAGAAATTATGCAGTTAACAGTATAGTAAGTATTTAAAATAATATTTGCATTCTTGTATTTTTTTCTGATTTCAAAGTGTTTGTTGTAGCCAATATCCTTGCTGGCAGCAGAGAATGAATGTCAGTGAGGTCAGTGAATCCCAGGGACTGAGGAAAGGACCATGTCTCCTGTTCCTTGCACTCCTCCATTTTTGAGCCCGTTGGGGCTTTGTTTTCACCTCAGACTGCCAGTTAAGTTGTTGCTACCTCTTTCCTGAATAACAGTGCATCAGAAAATCTGACTGCATTGGGGAAAAACTTAAGTCAGACTGTGTGTTGTTAGCTTAGCTCTTTACTCTGGAAGGGATGAGAATATTTTCTTCATGCAAGCTGCAGTTCTGCCCAGGTCTTCTCTCTGTAGGGAATGAGGTCAGGGTAGTGCTTTGCACATCAGACAAATCACTGATATCTCTGTTTGGAGCCATGCCTTGTGATGGTAGATCTCCATCATCTGCTCTTCTAATTCCTAAAATTTCTTCCTGCTTCTAGCTCATACACAGTGTGGAAAGAGGCACCACAGGTCTCAAGA